TTTGCCCCCCCAATGTCCCCCCGCCCCCATCGCGAACTACATTTCCCATCATCCCTCGCTCCCCCTGCCCCGCTCCGCCATTGGCCGCCTCGAGACCCGCTCGCCGCCGCCTCCTGATTGGCTGTCACCACGGCAACGCCCGGCGGGGGGCGTGGCCGGGGGGGCCGGCCCCTCCCGGCGYCTCGGGTTTGTTTGCGGCCGGAGCCGAGCGGATCCGAACGGATCCGAACGGACCCGAACCGAGCCCGGAAAGAGCCGAAAGCGAGGCGGAAAGAACCGAGCGCAGCCGAACGCCGCCGGGCGGGCATGAGGAGCGGCGGGACCGGCAGACCCCCGMGCCCCCCGCCCGGGGCCGGTGCTCCCGGGGCCACCCGGTCGAGCCCAAAGCTCCGCGGGCCCCGGTGACGCCGCGGGAGCCGCCGCAGGGGGGGCCTGGGCTATGCGGTGGTGGCTGCGCGCCGCCGTCCTCAGCCTGCTGGCCGGAGTCGGGGGTGAGGAGCCGCTCCCGGGTGTGAGGGGCGTGAGGGGGCGGCGGGGCCGGTCTGGCCGGTGGAGGGGAGGGGGGTGAGGGGGTGAGGGAAGTGTTCACGGTGGGACCGGTTTGGGCTGTGCTGGGTGTTCGGGGCGGCGGGGGACTGCGGGGGAAGGTCCTGGTGTGTCCCGGTGTGTCCCGGTGACCACAGGGATGCGGGGGCGGCGGATTTCGAGGGTCCCGGTGTGTCCCGGTGGCACCGGTGTGACCAACGAGAGGCGGGGGCGGCGGATTTCGAGGGCGGGGAAGGGTTTCGGTGTGTCCCGCTGTGTCCCGGTGCGTCCCGGTGAGACCGGTCTGGTCAGTGCCAGGTGCCCGAGAGAGGCGGGGGACAGCGGGGGAAGGTCCCGGTGTGTCCCGGTGGCCACAGGGATGCGGGGGCGGGGGATTCTGAGGCCGGGGAAGGGTCCCGGTGTGTCCCGGTGCGTCCCGGTGGCACCGGTGTCACCAAGGAGAGGCGAGGGACAGCGGGAGCGGGAGGTCCGGGGGCGGCAGGGATGGTCCCGGTGTGTCCCTGCCGTGTCCCGGTGTGTCCCGGTGGCACCGGGATGCGGGGGCGGAGGATTCCGAGGGTCCCGTTGTGTCCCTTCGTGTCCCGTTGTGTCCCCGCCGTGTCCCGGTGGCACCAGGATGCGGGGGCGGAGGATTCCGAGGGTCCCGTTGTGTCCCGTTGTGTCCCTCCCGTGTCCCTCCGTGTCCCGGTGTGTCCCGGTGGCACCGGTATGGCCAACGGGAGGCGGGGGCGGAGGATTCCGAGGGTCCCGGTGTCCCCCGTTGTGTCCCCGCCGTGTCCCGGTGTGTCCCGGTGGCCACAGGGATGCGGGGGCGGAGGATTCCGAGGGTCCCGCTGTGTCCCCGCTGTGTCCCGGGCTCTCACCCGGTCCCGGTGCCGGTCCCCCCGTGTCCTGGTGTGTCCCCTCGGTGTCCCCGCTGTGTCTCTCCGTGTCCCCGCTGTATCCCCCCCGTGTCCCCGCTTGTCCCGCCGTGTCCCGGTCTCTCACCCGGTGCCGGTGCCGGTCCCGCAGGCAGCAACCCGAGCGAGCCCCGGGCCGTGGTGGGGCGCGTCGGGGGCAGCGCGGTGCTGGGCTGCGGGCTACTGAGCGCCCAGGACACTCGCCCGCCGCTCTACGTGATCGAGTGGGTGCGATTCGGCTTCGTGCTCCCCATTTTCATCAAGTTCGGGCTCTACTCGCCGCGCGTGGACCCCGAGTACGCGGGTGAGTCCCGGGAACGGGCGAACGGGG